GCTTTCCCGGCTAACCACAAAGGATCCGATAGACACTCGCCGTCCTGACTGCGGTGGCTCAGCCAATAGAGACAGTCTCGTCACCGCAGTTAATCGTCAAGCAGGACGAAGCAGGCGATACCAGAAGTGAGTTCGCCTGGGTAGAAACACTGCGGTGTCGAGCCTGCTCATCCCCCCCCCCTGCTAAGTGTCAAGGACAGCTGCTAAGCAGCCGAAGAAGCAAACCGCTCAGCACAGTCCGTGCTTTGTAGCAGCAGAACCGCCGCCATACCAACAATCAATACGAAACTAACGATTTTAAATTGGCTCACTACTTGACTAGCCTATTGGTCCCAAGCAAATCGATTAACGTAACCCATTTTAGCCAACATTCTAGTACTACACAATGTTTGTTTTGATTCGCTATGAAATTTTGACAGTTAAAATGAGGGGTTATTGGATTTTCCTATGTTTCGAGGGGTGAATCGATTAGCTTGGGACCGAAGATAGTACCAGAGCTGAGCCAAAAAAGTTGAGCACGTTTCTTCGGGACCTACTAGTCTTAGAGTTACCTCTATGGCCATACCGTCGTCGTCGCATTTCTTTTTGTTGTTTTGTCCCACCCAAATCCGAACGTCTTTGGGGGAAGTACCCTTGCTTGAGGCCGGGTCAGCTATAGGCTGGCACCTAAGCCAAAAACTTACATGATTCAGTTCCAACCCGGATCGGGTATCAAGATTGGGTCTGCTTGTTGTTGATGTATCCCTTGGTTTATTGCTGGCTTGAAAGCCAATACATGTGAAATATTTTCATGAGTAGTGTTAGAAATCACTCGTATATGCCAGTCTCAGAGCACCTAAATTTACATGAATTTTTCTAAGCGTGTAGCTCTGGTATTACTTTACTCTCAAGGTCGGCTAATCTATAGAGCTTTTTGACGTTTAATCGGCGCACACTACTACACCATTTAAATCGAAAGAGTGCGAGCAAGAGGGAAACAGATTAGTGGGAAAACAAACCGTTCATTCATCCATGTGTGGTAGATAGAGAAAGACGATTAAACGTCAAAAAGGTCTATACTTGCTTTGGGGAAAACACACTAACGACCAAACATTTCACGAGACCAAGGGGCAAGACAACTGTACTTAGGTTTAATATTTTGCAGTGAGTAAATTTGAGTTACTCATATTTACTCAAAAATAAACAAAGTAGTCTAATATTTTTAATCAAACGATGTTCAAACAATCGCCGTCAGGCAAAATGTTTTGATTTTAAGAATTAGTTTTCATCAGTGTTGGAAAAGTTCGCGATATTTCACAAAGTTCACCAAGGGAAAAGTTCGCGAGTCATAGTGAGTTTTCGCGAACTTTTCCATCTCTGGTTTTCATTAATTAAAAGATCCAAATTAGATGGATTTTGTTCAGGCCAGGGGATGCTAGGGCTCTTTTGCTTTCTAGAGATCGATGGCTGTGAATTGTAATGTCTTTGAAGCTTTTGGTGATGTGGTGGTGTTAGTGGTTCCATTTTCCAACTATTTCTAGCAAACCGTGGAATCAAGAAATAACTGAAGACTCTTCCCGGCAGTTCGGAAATGTTTTTATCCAGTGACATCATTTTCGGTAGATATTTATTAAAATTTGAACTTTGCCAGGGTTTCTCCCAGAAAATTTTCCGACATTTACTGACAGTTTCTTCCAACTTTCCCTTGAAGATTTCGACCGGCTTTTTGGGATGGATTCTTATGATTTCTAATGGAACAATTCAAGAGCAACAATTGAAATGGCCTCAACTCCATTTTGTAAACAAACCTTGTAAGGCCATTTTCTCGCGAACCGAAGTCCGCAAAGGCAAATCAACATAATGAACAGGTAGGGAACAGGCTCCTCTACCCGATTGTGGTTTAGTTTACGAATTAAGGTTTCGGTTCGCGAGAAAATGGCCTTACAAGGTTTGTTTACAAAATCGAGTTAATGCTATTTCAATTGTTGGTCTTGAATTGAGTGAATAGGTCTGCTGGGTGTGATTGATGAATTGAAACTAAATTGATTCGTTACTACATATCAAGACCAACAATTGAAAAGGCCTCAACTCCATTTTGTAAACAATCCTTGTAAGGCCATTTTATCGCGAACCGAAGCCAACCAACGCAAACCAACAAAATGAACAGGTAGGGGAAATTCTCCTCTACCTGATTGTGTTTTAGGTTTGCGAACGTAGGTTTAGGTTCGCGAGAAAATGACCTTACAAGGTTTGTTTACAACATGGAGTTGAGGCCTTCTCAATTGTTGGTCTTGATATTATCATGGCATGCTACAGCTTGTAGCTAATTCATCGGTTACTTCTCCATCATCCCCCCTTAACCGAGAATTCTACCAATCCCTATTGTTCGTCGTCCAGCTGCAAGTTTAGGGGCCGGCACCGCTTTTGTTAGAAGATCTGCTGTTTGACAACTTCTCTTCCAGTTTCTCACGAACATCGATATGCTATGCTCTCACGGATATCGATATGCTTACTGCATGGTGAATATCCGACTTCTCTTTCAGCAAGGTGAATCGCACTTCGGTTGTCGCAAAAGATGGTTATTGTTCCGTCTTGCCCTGATAGTTCCTGCCGTAGTCCTCTCCACCAGATGGCTTGTTGTGCTGCCGCTGATTCCGGCATGTATTCAGCCTCCGTCGTTGATAAGGCCACGGTTGATTGCTGACGACAATTCCACGAAATCGGTCCAACTGACTGTATGAAGACGTACCTCGGTCTGCGTCGATGAATCCAACGAAACCGTTATCTGCTTGCTTGCGGTAGGAAAGCTTCATATCCTTCGTCCCTTTCAGATACCGCAAAATACGTTTTGCACCTATCCAGTGTGGATTACCGGGGTCGCTGCAGAAATGACTGACTCAGAACGGGTATCAGGTCATGTTTGACAAAGACTCTTGTTAAGTTGTCAGCACTACGAACGAAGTTGTGGCGATCGGACAGCATTCGGATGGACTCTACAAGTTGGCGTTGGCTAAAAGTTCATCAGTTCATCAGTTCTGGCTCGAAGGCAGAACAGCTTCCAACTATGGCATCAGCGGATGGGGCACCTATCGACTGGCTGCATGAGGAGACTCAGAAGCATGGTAACTGGAATGGAGTTTGAGGATACAAATTCCTTTCAATGTGTGCCGTGTATCCAAGGCAAGCACCAACGACAGCCGTTTAAGGCGAAGGGTCACAGGACTGAACGTTTGCTTGAGCTGATCCATTCTGATCTCTGTGGGCCGATGGAGACAACGTCGATAGGAGGACGTCGATATTTCCTAACGTCACCACGAAACCACGGTTCCGTACAATCCGGAGCAGAGCGAATGAACCGCACGTTAGTGAAGCGAGCAAGAAGCATGTTATACCGATCACCGACAAAAGACCTACCGGTCACTCCCGAGGAAAGGTTCACTGGAAATCGTCCCGATTTATCGCACCTTCGTGTGATTGGAAGCGAGTTAATGGTGCACGTTTCCAAGTAGAAGCGACGGAAGTGGGAGAGAAGCTGATCCTGTTGCACAGGCAACTCCTATCGAAATAGTTGTGCGGAACGAACAAGAGGATGCGGAGGAACAGGGCGTTGACGAACACACTTAGATTTTTTCGCCGAGATGGGCACCACCGAGCAGCTCGGCATTTTATTTTACTGGATCTCAGTGAAAAACTTGCCGAGATTCAGCTAACAAACGAGAAATTTGCCGAGATCTCAGCTAACAAACATATTTTTTGCTGAATTTCCAGCAAAATAAAATGCCGAGCTGCTCGGTGGTGCCCATCTCGGCAAAAAAATCTAAGTGTGAAGGTGATCACGAATCACTAACGGATGAGGACGAGCTCAGTGACAGCAACGAATCCGAGAATGGCGACAACGATGATACTTTGATTGATGCGGATCAACAACCTGCTGCGCTCCCTCCACAAACAGAGGACCCACAACAGTTGGTAAGGCGCAGTGCGAGGGAGCGCGTAACTCCAGGCAAGTATCAAGATTTTCATTTGGGTTTCGGTATTCTTCCTCACGAAACTTCCCAAATTTCCCAGTTACCCGAGGTCCCGGACAATTTGAATCTCGAGCCACAGACGTCCCAAGAAGGGTCTGTTCATAAACTACGTAGACAGTTTAGGAAGGGGGGAAGGGTTGGCAATTGTGCACGGTCCATACAAATTTAAAAAAATTTTGTATGGAAAATTGCCTACGCAGGGTGAGGGGGGGTCAAGAATCCCAAAAAAACTGTCTACGTAGTTAATGAACAACCGTTGGAAGGACGCAATGGTTGAGGAGTATCGAGCGTTGCTGAAAAATCAAACCTGGGAGCTCACCGATTTGCCAGAGGGAAGGAAAGCTCTCCGCTGCAAATGGGTGTTCAAGATCAAGACGAACCCCGACGGATACACAGAGCGATACAAAGCCAACTTGGCAATCAAGGGCTATTCTCAAGTCATTCGATTACGAGGAGACTTACTCTCCCGTGGTCCGGTATGCTGTATGATGTCGTTAGCTGCCAGAATGGATCTCAAGGTACATCAGATGGATGCAGTCACAGCATTTCTGCAAGGTGAGCTGAAATAGGGAGACATATATATGGAGCAGCTCACAACGAAGTTTTTGATGATTGGCCAACAAAGTCCTTGGAATCCAAGTCGGGCGAGGAGACGGAACTGTGTATTTGGACCAGGAGCAGTACATTCAACAGCTACTGGAACGATTGGCATGAGTGACTGTGATACAGTAGCAACCCCGGAAGATCACAATCAAAAACTATCGAAGCAGATGGGGCCTAGATCTGAAGAAGAACGGAAGCAGATGCAGAAAGTTCCATTCCGGGAGCTGGTAGGAGGTCTCCAGTTCCTAGCGCAATGTACCCAACCGGATATCTTCACTAACCTCCGGATCACCCTCCTGCTGTTCCTTCACTGCGCACCACATCGTTCCTTGATCAGGATCATCTTGGTCGCGAAGGAGCTGTAGTTCTCCGCGGCGCGTAGAATCTCTCTCACCGGCAACGAAACTGAACTTCCTGGCATTCGTCCGTTAGGCGGGGCTCTTCCGTTTTCACGTCCACCCGAGCCTTCGCCCGAGCCTTCGCCCGAGCCTTCGCCCGAGCCTTCGCCCGAGCCTTCGCCCGAGCCTTCACCCGAGCCTTCGCCCGAGCCTTCGCCCGAGCCTTCGCCCGAGCCTTCGCCCGAGCCTTCGCCCGAGTCTTCGCCCGAGCCTTCGCCCGAGCCTTCGCCCGAGCCTTCGCCCGAGCCTTCGCCCGAGCCTTCGCCCGAGCCTTCGCCCGAGCCTTCGCCCGAGCCTTCGCCCGAGCCTTCGCCCGAGCCTTCGCCCGAGCCTTCGCCCGAGCCTTCGCCCGAGCCTTCGCCCGAGCATTCGCCCGAGCCTTCGCCCGAGCATTCGCCCGAGCCTTCGCCCGAGCCTTCGCCCGAGCCTTCGCCCGAGCCTTCGCCCGAGCCTTCGCCCGAGCCTTCGCCCGAGCCTTCGCCCGAGCCTTCGCCCGAGCCTTCGCCCGAGCCTTCGCCCGAGCCTTCGCCCGAGCCTTCGCCCGAGCCTTCGCCCGAGCCTTCGCCCGAGCCTTCGCCCGAGCCTTCGCCCGAGCCTTCGCCCGAGCCTTCGCCCGAGCCTTCGCCCGAGCCTTCGCCCGAGCCTTCGCCCGAGCCTTCGCCCGAGCCTTCGCCCGAGCCTTCGCCCGAGCCTTCGCCCGAGCCTTCGCCCGAGCCTTCGCCCGAGCCTTCGCCCGAGCCTTCGCCCGAGCCTTCGCCCGAGCCTTCGCCCGAGCCTTCGCCCGAGCCTTCGCCCGAGCCTTCGCCCGAGCCTTCGCCCGAGCCTTCGCCCGAGCCTTCGCCCGAGCCTTCGCCCGAGCCTTCGCCCGAGCCTTCGCCCAAACTTTCCGTTTGAACAGTATCTTCAGATTATTCTCAGAAGTCTTACTGGGCTACCACTGCGCTGGCAGTGGAATTTATTTTCCATTTCACCCGGACGTCCCATGGAAAACTTTTCTGAATTATTTTGAAAGTTTGAAAGTTGAATTACATTGGCGTTTTTCAACTTTTCCTGGAAGACTCTTCCGACTTCACACGGGAATTTATCAAAAATTGTTTCAGAAGCGTCTACCGGTGTCGCATGGCAGACTCTCCGCCTGGAAGCTTTCCTGACTTCGCACGATTCGTCAAATTTTCTCCAGAACTAGTTTCCTGGGAGTCGGGAAATGATAAATGTGATGAATTTCCCGGGTAAGGGAAATACTAGGTGATGTGGTTTTACGACCAAGGAATGTGCAATTTGGCCAAATGTTTTCAGAAGATTATTTTTAGCTCATGAAAATTAATACTTAATCTCACAAAATCGGTCAGGGTCAACTCTCTCCAGAAACTTCCGTTGTTGAATTTTCATCGTCTGTTGTTGTGGTGATGATCCATATTTAGCACAAAAGGAACATTGTTGAATGCGGGCTAGTGTGAGATTTTTCGACCATTTAAAATCGAGATTTAGATGTGTCGCACCCCTCGGATGCTGCTAACACAATTGTAAAGGTAATCAAATCGGAGATAACGGAGCCAATATGAATTGCGATATTAATAAGCGCTATCAGAACCGCCAGCAGTTTCTGGGGGATCAATATGCAATTCCGGCAAGAGAGGTAGCAATCAAATGTGGGCAAACCGGTATCATGATCCTGGACCAGCATTGGGATGCTGTTAATGAACAATCTCAGCGGTTTGGGCCTTCTGTTTTTTATTGGGGTGTTCGAAAGTTCAAAACCATGGATGCAGTCGTTTGACTATCTCAGCAATAAATGTTAAGCTCAGTTAGACGAATTCACTACCCAGCAGCGACTGCAGACATTGGGAAGCTACTGAAGGTCTATTGCTGCTCCTACTATCGCCGGTGGTAATTTTAGGTCGAGTCCTTCCTGATTTCTAGGCTGCAGCATAATTATAATTTAGGTAGCATGATTATAATTTAGGGGCGCATCTTCCACTTGTCGGTTGGGAACTTATGATACAGGTTTCGGTGTACGGCTACCACGATATAGAAATGTCTTCTCCTGCACCGACAGCTTCTGCCATCAGTCACGCTTCTCCTTCTCGTAGAGGGACTGAATCTCGAGGTTGGCAGCGGTCAGCGTAAACTGGCTAACAGTTCCAGCAGTAGCCGATGATCTCGCGCTTGTCATTATTCTCATTCGTTTGGCATCACTGAACCAAGAGGATTTAATGTTAAAAACAAAGACTCACATACGTGTTATTTGATACTCATTTCACTTTTAAACAGGACCCTCCTATATACTATGCAATATGCACACAAATAGATCGTTTAACCATGCGTGAGAACTTGACCATGGAAACAAACAATCTCAAAAGTCATAACTGCAGGGTTGCCAAACTCATGGGATGCTGAGATCGAGAGCTTGATTGTCACACTTCGGCACGTTCGGCACAACGCAGGGCATAGCTTTCGGCACTGATTGATGTACAGAGTTGAGTACCCCTTGACTGATGCTCGTTGAGAAAATACCCGGAGACTCTGTTTATTTTTCGCACTGGTGTTACGGTTTCATAGGCCTCATCTTGGAGCTCAAGATCATCATATAAACATAATGGACGTCTAAATGTCGTAGAACACATCAGCAATAACATACGGGACTAGTAGTGACGGTGACACAAAACTGAGATTTTGCCACCATGCTTTTTCTGTCCACGTGGTACATGGATGGCCCCTTGATATTTAGACATCTGATAGGCACTTTAAAAAGCAATTTAAGCTGCTGATAACGATTCCATTTCGCCCCGGGGAACCCTCACTTTTGAAGCAAGTATCCAATTTAAAACATAATCATTGTTTGAATTTCGCATCCAACCTGTCCCACTTTCCTTCCCTCATTCTATGTCTCGCTCTGTTAGACCACCCCTAACTAAGCTCGGATTTTTTCAAACTGAAAATTGTTTTTATATTTATCCATCCTGAACCCACACTCCCGAACTCCAACTTCCGCCACTAGTCCACAGTAAACTTTAACTGAGAGGGAAGCTGGAAAAAAATCTACATCACATCATAAACTCGAAGCTCAGCTTGCACAAAACAAATTCTGCCTTGCAACCCTTTTGCAACCATCGCATGGCCTACTCACCACTCATCCCACTGCACTTGTCAAACACACACACACCCACACACACGCATGCTTTGTTTACGCTAGAGCAACAACGAAGCGATTCAACTTTAACTCGCACCACTAGTTGACTGCGGCGCTGCTCCACCCTATCCATTTGGAGGCCGAGGTCAGGAGGACGAGCAGCGGCACAGGACGAAACCAACCTTCGAGAGCATCTCGATGTGCATGCAAAAAAAAATATATGGAAGGATACGCACATAGGAACCTGCGTCCTTCTGTCCGTCGTCTTCCGAGCAGCAGCGCGGTCTAAATATATTTGATGCGGGAAGAGTTTTCCGATACAATACAGATCCACAGCAATGCATTGGCAGAAAAATTGTAATGTAAACAGTAGGCCCCTCTCACTCTGGGTTCTGGCTTTCATCATCATCATCATCATGTGCCGCCTTCTACGGATATCAGTTGCATGGGAAACTTGGCGGCCAGGATCATGGCATGCTGTGGTGCGTAGTAGAACGCTCATCCCTGTCCGTGCCCCGATAGGGTTGTGCTTGGCCTCGTTGCCCCAGCACAGTCGACAGCATTCCGGATGACAACCCTAGTCGCTCATGGTAATGACTACAAAGATCCCGTTTGCACCGCCTCAGATCCCTGACCTGTGCCCACCTCTTCCCCCAATCATATTTTTTTTGCTATTTTCAACTCGATCCATAACATTTTTATTTTTTACAAAACTTTCAAATGATGCGTAACAGCCATCCTACGATAATCCTCACATGCTCGCCGGATCCCGTTCCCCCCCATCGCGCGCACCACTCGAACGCAAAATATCGTTGAATATTTAATAAACGGCGGAGGAAATCACAACAATACACATCTGAAGGCTAAATTCTCCACTCGTTTGGTTTCCCCACGATAACGATGGTGCCCCTCCTGCGAGGGTTGCCCATCTTGCCCGCCGTTCCCGTCACTTCTTCTTGAAGCCGCGGCGAGGATGAGGACGACAGTTGCAGTTTGCCGTACGCATCAACTCGACCGATTCATTGTATGTTCCATCCACCTCCTCTTCCTCACCCTCTTCCACTCGGAATTGATCACACATAGGGTTAAGATCTGATTTCCGTCATATTGGGGCTGTGTTTCATTTGGTGATTTACCTGCTATTCTACCACATTTAGTTCTAACCGATAAGGAATTAGTTTTGACAACAGTTTCTTGAAAATCGACCGATCATCAAAGAGAGGGATTTTCGAACATTTTAATTTATTTTCGAAGTGTTAAATTTAAGTGAAAATTCACCAAATGGAACACAGCCTAAGGATGTGGTCCATTTGGCAATTTTTCACTTAAATTTGAAAGATGAACATTTTTCAAATAAACCTACTAAAATATGGTGCACTTAGAATGCGGTCATTTTATTTATTCAATATCAGCGCCTTTAGTGGTCGGATTTGGAATGTTTTGACAGCGATTTGTTTTCAAAGTACACGTGTTTCAGTGGTGAAAGTTTCGTCTCGATACGTGCAGTATTGATAGCAAGAGTGTGGCTCGCAAGGCTCACAGCCATGGACCCAAAGGGTAAGGACCTCCTTCACGCGATTTTTTTTTTTGGTTCACCTAGCTGTTTTTTTAGTGTACCTGGTGCACCCGGTACTAGAGCAAAAGACAGCAATTTGTACCAGAACAGGTGTCAAAAGTGACACAGACAGCACAACTGCCAGCAAAAGCGCCAGCAAAAAAAAAGCGCGGTACCCGCTGCCGTGGCAGTCAGATTGAGGTGTGTCATATCCCTTAGCACGTTTCCTTTTGTTTCGCCATTTTGAGATTTGAACTCGTGACTTTGGCGTGAGAGGCATGGATGCTAACAAAAAAAAAAGCGGAACTAGTTAAAATAGTTAATTATCTAATCTAATAGTTCATTAGCTCCAGGGCCCTTGAACATCATATATTTGGATTGTCCCCAGGAGGATTGTCCGCAGGAGGATTGTTCGGAATAAGGATTGTCCGCAGGAAGATTGTTCAAAGGAGGATTGTCCACAGGAAGTTTGCTCGGGAGAAGGTTGTTCGAAGGATTGTTCGGAGGAGGATTGTCCGCAAGAAGATTGTTCGGGAGAAGATGGTACGAAGGAGAATTGTCCGCAGGAAGATTGTTCGGAGGAGGATTGTTCGAAGGAGGATTATCAGCAGGATTGTCCGCAGGAATATTGTCCGCTACCGACAACCGCTACCGAGTCGAGGAGAAAGATTATCCGGAGGAAGAGGATTGTCTGCGGGAGGATTGTTCGAAAGAGGATTGTTCGAAGAAGGATTGTCCGCAGGAGAATTGTCCGCAGGAAGATTGTCGACAGGAAGATTGTTTGGAGGAGAATTGTCCGCAGGAGGATTGTTCGAAGGAGGATTCTCCGCACGAAGATTGTTCAGAAGAAGATTGTCCACAGGACGATTGTCCGCAGGAAGATAGTTCGGAAGAGGATTGTCCGTAGGAGGATTCGTAGGAGGATTGTCCACAGGAAGATTGTTCGAAAGAGGGTTGTCCGCAGAAGGATTGTTCGAAAGAGGATTGTCCGCACGAAGATTATTTGGAGGAAGAGAATTGTCCGCAGCAGTGATGGAAAAGTTCATCAAAGTTCCCTATGACTCGCGAACTTTTCCCTTGGTGAACTTCGTGAAATATCGCGAACTTTTCCAACACTGGTCCGCAGGAAGATTGATCAGAGGAAGATTGTCCGCAGGAAGATAGTTCCAGGAAAGATCTTCAGAGACAATCAATGACGTTCAAGGAAAACGTTGGGGAACGACACTCATCCTGATGCATGTTGCTTCAAAAAATATATGGCAACACTGTGACGGCATGCGAGCGGAATTGAAAGAATTTTCGGAATAGACAGAAGGATCAACAGGAATATTCAGGATATACTGAAAAATAGACAAAAAATCGAATAAGGATGCCTGGAGAAAAAAAGTTCTGACTGATGTTCTGGATATATAAGCAGAATTTTATGGATAAATTTGATGGGGATACAGGATGCATCCGAATGTATCGTTCCCCCTGGAAAATATAAAGAGCTTCAGAGTTCCGGATAATTTTCTTCCTCCACGTACACCTTGAATCGTCGGTAGCAGACAATTCTCCTTTAAACAATCCTCATGCGGACAATCCTCCTTCGAACAACCTTCCCGCGGACAATCATCTGACAGGCGGGATCTGGTCCATTCGGTCCTCGCTACACAAGGATCGTACCTGGGTCCGCCTTGCATGATTTCTAGTTGGACCCCCAACAATTAAGTGATAAAACTGATTCCATTTTGATCAACATCAACAATGACATTAATGCTAGCTCTGAAGTTCAGGTTCAGGTTAGGAAAAAAGCTAGGTTAAAACAAAACGTCAGCTATTGTTGGTAAACAAACCGACAGCATTGTTGACAGCATTCCCCCATGCACTCAAAAATATAACTACCCACAAATCTAAAAAACCTACTACTGCGTGCACTTCCATTCTATTAACGAGAACCATGATTTTTCGATAAATTCCTTCCACGCTATTGGTCCTGACCTTTGGGTCCATGCTCACAGCTACCGTCGCACTGGAACTTTGGATCGGTAGCTGAACTGGAAGGTGTTGAGGTCGATCAAGAGAAACCCAGGGCTCTCGGATCGGGACGTTGCCAAAAAATGCGGTGTCATTCGGATGATCCGCCTGTGAGCAGGTTACCGTTCATTCCGTGCCTCCAAGGAACCGAACAGGGCGATGAAGCAGAATCTTGTGGCCAGAACACGCGCCCGGAAGTTGTACGACTGGGTTCCACAGGTAAAAATTTAATGCTTAACAAGTATTGTTCAATCGATTTTAATTCAGCCTTAGTTCGAATAATTGTTGCACATAGACCACGTTAACCTTTGTTCAGCTTTTAAACATCTAAATCTGGCGATTTTAATCAGTCAAAAGTTTAACAGTTATATAATTAAAAGCTATATAAGACATTAAATAACAGTCTTTTTCAACCGTTGTTCAGCCTTCTAGTTTTATTTAGAAAAAAAATTGAAGACTGCTTAATATCTTA